CACACACACACACACACACACACACACACACACATACACACATACACACATACACTCATACACACACTCACATACACACACTCCCACAAACGTGCACACACACAAGCACAAAATACATACAAACTACTTCTGCTTCACGCCTTGGAAACATTTTCAAATAGGCATAACACCTGCAGTTCTGTGTTTGGTGGCTCTTAAAGGGTATCAGGGTGACATTCACACATCAACAATATCATATTATCTCATTAGGCACACAGATGGCAAAGACTTGCCGTTCTCCCAATTGGTATCATGCTGGACATAGGAGGGGATAGTCCTGGTTTGAATGTTAATTACTTTTTCCGTCCTTCGTTTCCTCAGAGATTTTGGAAACATTTTTCTTTCCGTCACTGTCCCCCTTTCCCTTCGTTCTGCTGTCGACGTCTCAGCGTAAGACTCCGTCAAAAGTCACTTTTCACCATGGCGTATAGCGGAGTCGTACACCAAGCATTGTGTTTGTACATTGCCCATTCGTTCAATTGTCTTCTTCTTCTTCTTTATGATCTCCGTGTCAGGCCTGACGAGACTGCAGGAGGTGCTCAAAGCGGCAGAGCGGACCCCTGCACAGATCACGGTCCGGAAGCTGGAGATGGTCAACTCGGACTACCTGGTACTGCTGAAAGAACTTCAAAATCGTGGGGAGTACAGGTTCATCGTAGACTGTAACGTCAAGACAGTCACAAGGTTTTTGCACGCGGTGAGTTGTGTGGTAAAAGTAGATTTTTCCTCACCCCCGCCTTAAACCTTCAACTTTAAAAAAATGTTTTTTTAAATCTACCAGAAACAGGTTTCTCAACTGCCTTCTTTGTTTTGTCAAATAGCTTTGTTCTATCGAAAAAAAACCCCAAAACAACAAAGATGACCCTAATTGGATTGTCGATGCTTTGAGATGTGTTTGTGCGCGCGCCCGCGCGCGTGTGTGTATATGTGTGTGTGTGTATGTGTGTGTATGTGTGTGTGTGTGTGTGTGTGTGTTTGTGTGTGTGCGTGTGTGCGCACACGCGTATGTACATAATATGTAACACAGTATTGCACTCTTACGGTACCACACATTTCACCTCTTCCTGCTCCCCATTTTCCCTTCTAACTTCATAAACGGAAGCAAACACAGAGATAATGGTCAGCTTAGCTCTTTGTCTTCACATTTTATCCCATTTACCAGTAACTCACTCTCCAACCATCCCCGTACTTTGTTTCTAGAACCCACATCTAAAGGATCAAAGAGTCGGGTGTTTGTGGGGGTTGTGCGGGAAGGGGAAAGGGGAGCGGAAGTCGATACTTTCGTTGAGTAGTGGCTGCAAAAACTATCGTCAAATCCCTCCAGAAAATGTGGGATGTTTCTTGGACTCCGTTCTCGCCTCAGCCTGGCCTAATCCGATTACTCCGAAGTAGGAGTCCACGACGCAAGCCGACCTATTTTTGATAACTACGTTAGCACTTAGCTTGTTCAATTGGGAAGTAACGTTCTGGGGTCAGGTCTGGCTATTTTGATCAATCTTCGCGCGATTGTTTAACGGTGTGCTGGGTGATTGTGGAGGGCAATAAGTGTTGTTCATTTGAATTCAAAGAAATTGACAACTCCCCCCCCCCCTCTCTCTCTCTCTCTCTCTCTCTCTCTCTCTCTCTCTCTCTCTCTCTCTCTCTCTCTCTCTCTCTCTCTCTCTCTCCCCACATACACACATATGTACACACATACATACATACACACACATGCCCACATAGGCTGATGCACATGCACACTCAATATACACAAATACTTACTCTTTCCCTCTCAAACATGCGAACACAGACACACACACACACCACACACACACGCACACACACACACACACACACACGCTCTCACGCACAACACAAACACGCATACACATAGACACACATACACTCACGTATGTACAACGCACTCTGAAACACGAAACATACGACTCACTCATACACACACGCTATATCGCCCACCCTTCTACACATATTATATAACTCTTCCACTATCTTTTTGTTCTCTCTCTCTCCTCTCTCTCTCCCTCTCTCTCTCTCTCTCTCTCTCTCTCTCTCTCTCTCTCTCTCTGTCTTTCCCTGTTTGTCTCTCGTTCTCTTTGTCCTGCTTTCTCTTTCTCTCTTGCACATACATAGACATTACTTCGCCGACACATAATCATACAATCATGCCAGTACATGAGGGCAAATATACAACTGTTGGTTGAACACATTGTACGTATAATAAATAAAGTATGCCAAAAGCATAAAATGATCCTCTTTTCTTCCCAAACCCAGCTATTGTTGGAAGATGTAGAAAAAGCATAACACATAATTGAACCCACCACTTCTAACAGTGAAACAGTGTCTGTAACCAAAAACAATAACAACAGCAGACGCAGCAGCAGCTCGGAAGTGACAACAACAATGACACGTGAAATGACAGCAAAATCATCTCCAGAATCCCGAATACTGATGTTATCGCCCA